GTAAATGTTCATTAAAACTAATAAAATTTAATAATAATTTAAAAAAAAAACAACACAACCCTTTTTTCTTAAAATCCCAGGTTTTGATGGGATTATTCAGCTGGTGTAACCCCAAAATGTCTGGAGCAAATGGTACTTTCTGGAGAAAACAGAAGTAAAAGGCAGTAAAGTAGTGAAACGTGGGTAAAAGTTTAGTGCTGCAATTTTTACCCAGTTATTTTTTTGTCTCCTCTGAGCTAACGAGTACACAAAACACTGGAAATTCACAAATACCACATTTCTGTAAGTTTCAAGCATATCCAGTTACCTTCGTTCACGACAGCATGGAATACATACCCTCTGCATCTGGGAGTCCACCCGCCACATCCTTAAAGTCTGATCTCGGGACCACGTAACCAGTTGGTAGTCCTTTGACCCTACAAGTGATCAAAGAAGAAACCGGGAAAGTTTTCTGGCTACAACATCAGTTTTGCTACATGTCGTAATAAAATCAGATTCGTTTATTCATTCATTCGATGTGCCAGGCACTATTTTAGGCCTTAGGACAATTTCTGTCTTGCTAACACTGTCATCAAGTCAATTCCGACTCACAGCAAACCTGTATGACAGAGCAGAATGGTCTGTAGGACTTGCAAGGCTGAGAACCTTAACAGAAGCAACAGTCTCATGGTTTTCCTGTGGTGCTGCTGGTGGGTTTAAATCACAGACCTTTCAGTTAGCTTCCCAATATTTAATCCACATTGCCACAGGGCTCCTACCAAGGTTACTGAACAAACACACACATTTCTTTTTAGACCTCATATTCTAATGGTAGAAACAGAGAAACAAATAAGTGTCTACTATAATATCAGGCAATGATGTTGTTGTTATGTGCCATCGAGTTGCTTGTGACTCATAGAGAGTGACTCTATGTACAACAGTTCTGAACCCTGCTCTATCCTGAGCCATCGTTATTATCTCCGACACACTGACTGACCCCTGTGATCCCAGTTACTGCATCAATCCCTCTCAGTGAGGGTCTTCCTCTCTTGTGCTGTCCCTCCACCCATCAAAGTATGGCATCCCTCTTCAAGGAATGATCCCGCCTTGCAACATGGCCAATATCAGACGAAGCCTCAGAATCCTTGCTTCCAAGGAGCAGCCTGGCTTCACCCTCTCTAGGATGAACCTGTTTGTTCTCCTAGCAGTCCACAGTATATTCATTAGGCGGTGATAGGCATGAAAAACAACCCAGCATAAGAGGACAGAGAATGATGGGGAAACTATTTTTAGACAAGACTCCCCGAGGAAGTCACATCTGAGCAGAAACTTAAATGAACTGAAATAATAACTGGCAATTAGGTGAAGAGTGATGCTGGGATTTAACGTCACATGAATCTCTCACCTCTACAAATGTTCCTCCTTTCATATGCGCTTGAGGAGCAGGAAATAGGCACTTTTTTTTTTTTTTGCAAAGTGAATTGCTTGAAATCTATCTTGGTATATTATTGTTTAAATTTTTCTGGTCAAGAGATGCTATCTCTTTCTAACGTGAGTTATTGGTCTCTAGTGTTATTAACTGGCTAAAGTGCACTTTTCCCTACTGAGGTCTAGTCAAAGAGAAATTATTCTGAAAAGATCCGAGGCACTTAATGTGAGAACTTTATGAAAGAGCAGAATAGTTCAGAGTAGTCATGATGTATCAGAATTTCCTTCACAGCCACTGTGACGGTTCAAGTTGTGTGTCAGTTTGGTGGTCTATGATTCTAGTCTCGCAGCTAATATAGTCATTTGGCCGAACTGTATCAAGATGTAGTCATTCCCTTGATGAGATCTGCTGTGTGTATCTGCTAGTGCTTCGTGTGTGTGTGTGTGTGTGTGTGTGTGTGTGTGTGTGTGTTCACATACATACATACACACCCATCCATCTGGCAACACTCTCTTGTCTTTTGCTTGACCTGGATCCTGTTTTAGCGGCATCAGCACCTGATATGACCATGTGACCTGTCATACTGCCCACTGATCTTGGGTTCCTCAGCTTTTGCATCCACCAGCCTGTTGTCTAACCTGCTGATCTTGGGTGGATCAGTCCATGCAGCTGTGTGAGTCAGGAGAAGCCTCTAGCCTGACATCTGACCTTCAGACTTGGGACTTAACCAGCCTCTACAGTGCATGAATTCTTAAGATAAATCTCTTTATTTCTGTCTAGCTCTCTCTCTTTCTCTAGACAGACAGATATACTTCAGTGGTTCATTGGTTGTACTTTTCTAGAGAACCCAGCCTAAAACAGCCAAATAGTCATTAACTGAGAGCAAAAAAGTCAGAACTCATTTCACCCCGCTCTCTCATTTTATGGATGTGGAAAGCAAGGCAACACAGAAAGTGGCTCATCCAAACTAACAGGATGAGATGGTTAATTCTGTGTGTGGACTTGAACTAGGCTAGGGGACGATGTCCAGTGCTGGGTCAAGCACTCGTCTTAGCTGCTGCTCCAGGTCATGTCATGTAAGCATCAAGTCATGTCACGTTAGCAATCAGGTGAAAAGTGAGTTTCTGAGCTCATGTTCTACCTCCAGATGCCCTGGCAGTGCTCCCTCCCGCTCCGCTCTCTTAACTCTGCACTAACCCGACTTACAGAACTCTCCCGCCTGTCACCTCACCTACAGACTATGAACCTGCCAGCACCCAAAATTACACAAGTGAATCCCTTAAAGTCAATCTCTGTCAATGTACGTACAGATACAGATAAACTGTGACTGGCAACTTGATCCCAAGTATTAGCAACCCAAAGAGCAAAGCAGAACTGCTTTACAAGATTTCCAAGGCTGCACACCTTTCGGAAACTAACCGCCACATCTTTCTCACACGGAGATACTGCTGTGTTCCAACCACTCGCCTGGAGTTAGAAGCGGAGCATGTAACCACTGTAGAGACAGAGATCTATCTCACTGGTTCTACTTCTCCAGAAAACCTGAAGACAGACGTCACTAATGTGAAAACAAGGGCCAATTCTCTCCCTTACCAGCTGCTTCTCCATGGCATCATCCTCACCCAAGCCTGCAGCACGAGTGCTCAGCAGTGCCCCTGTGCACCCCAACCAGCAAAGCAGCAACTACTCTCAGCCACTGCCTCTTACGGCAACATCTTCTGAGCTATACAGTCTATCTGATGTCCCCGTCGCTGAGGAAGACTGAGCTCTCAAGTCAGTGGTCACTCACTGCAACCTTCCCACATGTTCCCAAGGCTGTAAATCTTCTCGAGCCCTCACTTCTTCGCCCTCCCTTTAGATGAAGTGGGCAGCAAATCCTCTGCCAATCCCCCTCTTCTACCCTTGCCTCTGAGGGTAACTTCATTCACATACTACTTCATAATCTGACTTATGTCCTCAATCTGCTTTTAGAATGTCTCTATTAATGATCAGATGGCTTTCTTTTTGTTTCTTAATCTACATGTTGAGGCTTCACTAAGAGCTCAACTATCCTATCCTTCGGGAAATACCCTTGGCCTTGGCTGCAACATGCTGCTTCTCCTCCCCACTCTCTGCAAGCTCAGGCATCCCCGATGAAAATCAAAACCAAAGCTTGAGGTGGTTCAGCAAAAACATGACAAGAGGAGTCACCTGGATGAGAAAGAAGTAAAACTCAAGAACGCACGCAGGCCTGGACATCGAAGAAACGTTCAAAACCAAGCAAAACGAAACTGCTTTAGGGGAGGTGCAAACACGTGTTGAAATGAGGAAGACAAGAAAAGGAACTTCCTATCATGAAGCCCCAGGAAGGCGCTTCCCTCTGGGGAAGAAGAGGATGTGAGTGGAAAACTTCTCTGGACTTGGCAATGACCTTGTTACAGTTATGCAAGTTTTTACTTTATAATTACTTGTTAAATTGTATATGCTTGTAGCCATGTTATATTTTATAACAGGTTTTTTGGGGGGAGGTTGGGTTTTTTTAAGTGTTTGTGTTTGTCTGTGTTCTGTTTTTCAGAAAACTCCCCACCTGTGCTCTAAGCTTCCCTGCTGGCTGAGGTGGTGCAGGTTCTTCCGCTCACCTTCCTTCTGCTTCCTCCACTGGAACTCCAGCACCACGTCATCGTGCCCCACAAAGGTATGGACTGGGGTGTTCAAGTCAAAGACGTTCCAGAGAAGAAGGCTGTTTTCTCTCCGCAGCTGGGGAACCATCACAGTCACGAGCCCGTTGCTAAAAGGCTGAGGACAAGAAACAGGGAACTGCCTCACTGTCCCCGGGAGAGGCCGCGGAGCCACCCAGACCGGAAGCTTTCCTAAACAAAACAGAGGATGCAAGGCCCCAACCGGTCTGGGAAGATTTTTCCAAACATCATAAGCTGATCATTCCATCCGTCCCTCTGTGCTTTTGGAAACCACCACAGAAGTTAAAATATAAGACGCAGCCCAATGCTGGAGAACGTTTCTCATTCTAAAATATGCAAAGGGCCCTGACCAAACACACTAGAACGCACCATTTGGGATCCTCACCATTCTCCAAAAAGAGACTTCTAGAGTTAAAGAATGCTTTCCCAGAAAGAGTAAGCAACGAGGAATGAAACTCAGAAACATAAAAATAGACTCAGCCCAGAGGTGCACGGTTCAAATCCACCAGATGCTCTGCCGGGGAAGGAGGGACAATCTCCTCCTGTACCAGTCAGATCTGATTTGACGGTACACTCACACAAAAATAATAAAATAAAATTTAAAAAAATTTAAAAAAAAATAGACTCAGGATTACTAGTTTCATAGTTATTGTTGTTATTATGCACCATTAAGTTGAAACCAACTCACAGCAGAACCTCCACAGGTTGTCAGAGGCAGCTGTCACACAAGAGGAGACCGCCCATCTTTCTCCCCTGGAGCAGCTGGTAGATTCCAACCACATTTTTTTTTTGTTTTTTGTTTTTGTTTTTGTTTTTTTTTTGTGTGTGTGTGTGTGTGTGCGTGTACCGTCAAATCAGATCTGACTGGTACAGGAGGATATTGCTCCTCCTTCTCCGGCAGAGCATCTGGTGGATTCGAACCGTGTACCTCTGGGACTGCAGTGCAGCTTCTTGCCACTAGGTCACCAGAGCTCCCCGAACCACATGTTTTTGTGTTGGCAGTGCAACTCCTTACCAATAAGCCACCAGAGAGTCTGACAGAGACAAGTGGAATTCCCTCAAACTACAGCCTTTAGTCACCTGCGAATCCAGGACAAAAAGTCACCCATATGATTCAACTGTCAGCAAAGAAACAGACCCATAAGGTGAGCAGTAACACCAGGGAGGCACCAAATAGGGTCAGAGAACAGCACGTGTCCAGGATAAAGTTCACAGGGATGAAGTTCAGGAGGCAGAAAGCCATAGGAGAGTTAATGGAAATGAGAATCACTGGGAGGGACAGGAAGAATGCAACCACAGGGTGGCTGTGGTAATCAATGTTATAAAACAAAAGTACATGTGGATGATGAATAGAAAATCAACTTGCTTTCCAGGGGTTATACACTAAAAGTTGGTTTCGCGCATCTCGATGAGGGTCACGTGAGGAAAGTTTTGGTGTCTGTGTTGGTTTGTGTTCCTGGTTTCTCCCCTCCACCAGCGGGTGTCAGCTGGCTGGACTTTTGCTTGCCCATTTTAGCCAACAAGGATCCAAGGGTGGAGGGAATACTTGGTTTTTCACAGTCCACAGCATTTGTTGGGCGTGTCTTTAATATTATGATGACCGTTCTTTAAATGGTACAGCAGTCATCTGTCTAGTTGCTGGACTGAATAACTAGGGGTTGCTGTGATGCTGAACACGTGCCACAGTTGTGTCAAATTCCATAATGGTTACCCATCAAGGACAGTGTTTGGAGGAGCTTCCAGACTGATTTGGGTTTGGAAGCAGGAGTAGCATCCACTTCCTAAACCAGAAGCCTCTGGAAACTCTATCAGCATAAAGAAATTATATTAACTATAGAACAGAGTTCAAGTCTTTTGTTCATAGGGTCGCAGTGAGTTGTATTCGACCTGACAACACTTAAATGCTGCTAAGTGAGACTAGCGTTGTTATATTTTGGAGCAACATTCTTCTACTTTGTACATCACTCTTTGTCAATTTGCTGTACTGAGGTAATCTGAGTTTACGGTGATGCTGAACCTTGTGTCATTGGGGTGTGAAATGCCAACGTGGACAGTGTTTGGTCAAGTTCCCAGTTGTACAACGGATTTGGAAGCAGGCGTGGCATCCAATTCCTAAAGCTCACACCTATGGAAACTCTATGAACTTGGAGAGATGACGAGAGTTAATAGAAAGGCATTAAGCTCTTTTGTTCATGGAGTCACTGAGTCATCCTCAACTAGATGGCAATCAACAACAAACTGTCACTGAAATTACTCTTTTTAAAAAAAGAAAAAATGGAAAAGGAAAAAGAAGAAAGAAAAAAAAAGAACAAGCCTGCAAGCTTGACCAGGAATAATCCTGTGGCAGCCAACATAATCCTTGTCATGTGAAATGCACCAGTGGAACACTCACTGCCTTCCTTCCTACCGCCCCAATCCCTTCAGTTCAGCCAAAGAAAACCTTCTCATCCCAGCACTCAGCTTTACTCCCCACTATCAACCTGCGGGCCAGCTAGGGGACTCATGTGATCAGTATTTGACTCTGTTCTTTAAGGATTAAATCATAGTCACTTCAGTGCACAATCAACTCCACGTCCCCACCTGGCGGCAATCCTGAACCTTCCTGTTTGTTCTTGAAAGCAAACATATTAATCCAGAGAAGTATTTCAAGTCGTAAGAGCTGGGTCAGGTTTCTTGGCAAGTGCTCCCAGATGCAAAAACAACATAATACCCAATTATCTTGGTGGCTCTACAATGCCCCAGGTGACAGCCTCGTGGAGTAAAGGTAACTTCAGTCACTCCCTGCTCACCTTCACACTGACATTAAAGGATCAGCAGGCAGTTAATGCTGCGGAGGCAGTGGGGAAAGTGCTGCAAGATTCCTAACGGTCTACCTCGTGTATCCGGGCATCTTATAGTTTGTAACGCATTTTTGTGTACATGATTTCAAAAGGCATAAGGTAGATGTATCAAATGCCACGGAACTGTACACCGTAAAGTAATTAAAGTGGTGAATTTGATGGTATAGAAATTCTATCACAATTTTTTTAAAGGTACAGTAGAAATTATTATTCATATTCCACAGAGGAAGAGACAGCTTTCCCAAGGCCACAGAGAATATTGTTGTTGTTAGATGCCGTTGAGGCGGGTATGACTCATAGCAACTCTCTGAGTAGCCGATCGGAACTGTGTCCAATCTTACGCCATCCTCATCATTTCCGACACACTGCAGCCCATGGCTACAGTCACTGTGTCCATCCATCCCACTGGGGGTTTTCCCTCACTCACTCCCCATCCTTCCAAGCATGATGTCCCTTTCCAAGGAACAACTTCTCCTGACCACATCCCCAAAGTGCGAGAGGTGGAGCTTTGCACTCTTGGCTTCCACGAACACGCTGGCTCTACTTCTTCCAAAATATTACTTATTTTGTTCTTTTGGCGTAATACAAAAATATTAGATGGCATTTAAAAAACAATGAAATGACAGGGGCAGGCTCAGAGTCCAAGTCTTCTGAGTCTAGTCTGAATTCCTTTCACCAGAATCCACTGATTTTTTTTTTTATTTAGAAGAATCCACTGATTTTGAGCCTCTGAACCTTTTCTCATCGCACCCTGCTCTCTATTATCAGTAAACGTCTCCACACTTGCCCAGCTTCTGTCTATCTGTGGTTAGCTATTGTAATGTGGATATCTACTCAGCATTTCACAGGTAAAGTTTTAACTAGATAATACCTTCAAGCTCTCATTATCACCTTTGCGCACACTTTAAAGGAAGACAGTCTTACAAAGAGAGTATGAGAGAACGTTCCTTAGACTGCATGTCTGCAACGTCAAGGTGAAGTTCACCAGCAGAAGGTCGTGTCTCACTCACCGTGTATCTGGCCTTCCAGACAGGCACCTGGCATGGGAGGATATTGAGGTATTTCCGAGGCTGGCGATAATCCCAGAACTAGAAGAGAAAACATAAAATTATTTCTGAAATAAATGCCATCAAAAAACACAACTATCAAAATACACATGCCCTTTAAAAATCACTGCTTTTATCATTTTTACTGTGGAGACATGTGAATAACCAAAATGTTGCCATTTGAACTATTTTTAAGGGCACAATTCACTGACATTAATTACCTTCACCATGTTGTATAACCATTACCACTACCTTGTTCCAAAAGTGTTTCATAACTCCAGACAGAAACTCAGCTCTCCTTAAGGACAACGACTGAATGATCTCACTTATGTAAGTGTCTAGAACAGGCAATTCATAGAAATCGTGGTAATGGTCACACACACAAAAAAGTGAAATATGCCATACTGCATGACCCAGTAATCCCATTCTCTGTGTGTGTATGCCACCAAACTTGATCTTACTGGTACAGGAGGAGATTGTCCTCCTTCTCCAGTAGAGCATCTGGTGGATTCAAACCACACACCTCTGGGATTGCAGTGCAGCTTCTTGCCACTAGGCCACCAGAGCTCCCTCAGTAATCCCATTCTAATGTATTTATCTAAAAAGGTAAAAACCCCTCTTCACACAAAAATCTATATACATGAACATCTCAAGAGTTCCATTCACCATCACTAAAAACTAGACCCAAATGTCCATCAGACAGTAAACTGTGGCACAAGCCAAACAATGAAAGGATACCCAGGAGCTCTGGTGGCTCAGAGGTTAAGCGTCTAGCTGCTAGCCAAGGGTCTACGACACACAGACTTATGTGGGTCTTTGAGTTGGCATCAACTTGATAGTGAGTGTCAACAAAAAGTCTATGAACTAGAGATTCTAGAAACAACCTGGATGAACCTTAAAGGCATCACGCTGAGTGAGGAACGACAAACCCAAGAGACAAGGTCAGCGGGTGTCAGAAGTTAGGGGCAGCGAAAGGGGGACAGCACAGACATTACTGGGCTGATGAAGCCATTCTGTATTCCAACTAGTCATGACATAAACCAAAACATGGGTTAAATTTCATACAACTCCACACTCTCCCCTTTAAAAAGGCAATTTCATAGTGCAATTTAAAAAGTAAGAAAGTGAGGAAAACCATGTTAAGCATTAGAAAGACCACAAGGCAACCAGAACTCTCAGTCAGTGGAATCACCACTTTAGACCAGCTATTTGGTGTTTTAAAAATGTTTCAGAAACAAAACGATGAGATGTCCTCTCACCCCAACAACAACAGCAAAGTTCAATAGGGCAGCAAACCACAAATGCTGGTGAGGTTGTGGAGAGATCAGAGCTCTTACTCACTGATGGTGGGAATGTAAAATGGTGCAACCACCATGGAAGGCTGTCTGGCGCTTTGCCACAAAGCTGGAAATAGAAATACTATTTGACCTAGCAATTCCACTACTGGGAATATACCCTAAAGAAACCAGAACCATAACTCAAACAGATGTATGAACATTCATGTTTATTGTTGTATTATTCACAATAGCAAAGAGATGGAAGCAACCCAAGTGTCCACCAACAAATGAAGGGACAGAAAAACTATAGTACATTCACACAGTGGAATACTATGCAGCACTAAAAAACATTACACAACATGGGGAAGCCTAGAGGACTTTATGCTGACTGAAATACCTCCGTCACAAGAGGACAAATACTGTATAACACTGCTGTTATAAAACAGGACAGATGGGCGGGTGTTGGGGAGAGAATGGGAAACCAGTGGAAAGATTATGAACACTGATTAGAATAGATAAGAGGAAGAAAGGAATATATGATTAAGCATTAAGTGTATGACAACAATCTGGAACAAGGAGTGCATTGGGTGGAAGGCTGGGGGAGGAGGAAGAGAAGGAAGAAAATGAGCAGTAATTAATAAAAAAAATGAAAGTATGCAAAAAAAAAAGGTTTAAAAACTCCCAACAACCCAATGCCCTTCAATTGCTTTTAACTCAACAGGATCCTTCATCAGGCATCAGCAGCTGCAAATCTTTATGAGAGGAAACTGCACATCTGTCTCCCACCAAGCGGCTACTGGGTTTCAGCAGCATAACATGTAACGTACTAGGCCACTAGGGTTTCAAATACATATTATTCTACCACATCTAGATATCTATTTTACATCTAAATGTTGTTTTTTAAAAAAAATCAACCTACTAAAGATAATTTACACACAGACACACATTCTCCACTCTTATTTTGAGGCTACTGATTGTCCAATAGTTAAAAGATTTAAATAACCTCTTGATCAGGCATACATGTTCAGTTTTGCTCCTTAATAAATGTAACAGGTTTTCTATTGACTGCAAGGGGAAACATATGCAAGATAATAAATGTTTTTCTGGCTTATTACCAAGAAAAAAGAGAGAGTAATTCTGTCTTATATTAAAACTGCCTGATTGTGCCAAAGTACAAAAGAAGGTATCGCAGGCAAATCTGAGGGTCTGAGAAGTGAACGGCATTTACCCTGGTTCATAAGACCTGCAAATATTAAGTGTGAAAGGAGCAAATAAAAAATGTTGACAAGGGAGGCTAGATACTGATGGAATTTCCTGTAAGATGGAATAAAGGCTTTTCTGCAAAGGGCACACAGATTGTATTTTTAAATGTAATATTTAAGTTTACTGGGTGCTTCAATTATAATTGATGTCGGAGTGGTCTCTTAACAGTAAAATCATATAAAAAATGGCAAAAGGTTTTTCTGTAGTTGGACATTGAAAAAAGACAGGCAATCTCCTCGCATGCGATTTACTGCCTCTTCAAACCCACTGGAGGGTCGGCTATGAGACAGATCTGACTCCATGTGTATCATCAACAACACACTTGTTGTTGTTGGGGGTTTTTTGGTTTTGGTTGTTTGGGTTTTTGTTCTCGACTCTGCTGGGAACATACTTGTTGTTGTTGTGTACCACAGAGTTGGAACTGACCCATAACTGACCCTTCAGCAGATTTTCAGAGGCAGTTAGTCACACTGGTGGCCTCGAAGTGCGTGCCTTAGAGATTGCAGTGCACCTTCTTGCCATTAGGACAATAATATACTTAGAGAATATAAAAGAGCCCTCGTGGTACAGTGGGTTAAGTGTTGGGCTTCTAACCAAAAGGTCAGCAGTGTGAACCCACCCGCTATTCTGAGAGAAGACGCTGCAGGAGTGATTCCACAAAGAGCTACACGCTGGGCAGCCCGACAGGGCTGGTCTCCTGTGTCCTGCAGGCTCACGGTGAGGGGATCGGACTTGATGGCACTGGACTTGGGGCTTGGTCTGGAGAGTGAAAGTTCCGGATACCACTGAAAGATTCTTTTGAACTTTATGGTTCTTTAAATAATAATTTATTTACACTAAAGCCTTTTATATAAAAACCAAAAACAATACACTAGCATTCCAAATAATTACTGTTCCTTCCTGCTGTGTTTATTTTCATTCTCTATCAAGACAATCTTCATTTCTTCTCTTTATGCTTACACAATGTATTATGCATGCATTTTATTTCTTCTGACAATTCTCCTATTTCCCACCTCCCCCAAGTCTGGCCCCATATTCAAAATAGCAAAAATGTTATGATGTTTTCCCACCTAAACTACTTCTGGGTTTTTCAGATGGCCACAGGGTAAATTATAATTTGCTCCCTCAACTCATAAAAGGAGGAATATTAGAAATAATTAGGTATGCTTGGCATTCTCCAGATTTTTAATTAGCTCAGCGCTTTGAATGCTGCTCTGCTATCAAACTCACAATATGTGAAAAACTGGCAAATGCAAGTTCAACCTCCCTAGGCTAATTACATACATGTAAGATGTTATTAATATAAATGCATCTCAGCAACTGTTTGCGTCTCTGGCTGGAGAGATACATATTCATGTTCCTAGACAAAGGCAGGCACAACAATTGTTAACAAATTAATTCCTTTTTTTAAAAAAAAAAGAAATCTAGATTTAAATATGCTCACCAATTGGTGACAACGGTAATACACAACTTAAAGGCTACATTAAAGGGCCCTAGAGATCTGACAAGGAGGCCTGGTGGGTTAAATGTTGGGCTACTAACTGGAAGGTCAGCAATTCAAATCCATTAGCTATCCGGAGAAAAAGATGAGGCAATCTGTTCCCATGAAGATGTATGGCCTTGGAAACATGACAGAGCAGTTCTACTCTGTCCTACAGGATGGCAGTGAGTTTAGGTTTGGAGATATCTTCTTACCCTTGCAATGCAGGAGTCCCTAAGTGGCACAAATGGCTAAGCCCTCAGCTATTAACCAAAAAGTTGGTGGATCAAACCCACCAAGAGACATCTTCAAGACAGGCCTGGTGATCAGCTTCTACAAGGCCACAGCCTTCAACACCCTCTGAAGCAGTTCTATTCTGCACACAGGATGCTGCTATGAGTCAGAATCAACGTGATGGAAACGACCAACAGTAACTCTCAAGGCAATCCTTGCAACACCCAAACAGTTTTCACTGTGTTCCAATCTCATACAGCTGGCGCTTAAAATTAATTAAACAGCCATTTGTCTTCCCATTCACAGATGATGTCTGCTTTTGTCTTAGGACTCATACTACAGTTCTGAAAGAAAGCTTCTGAAGAATTACCAGAAGAACCTTGGTCAAGGCAGATGAGGGGCTACTGGCTGCTGACACCCCAGGGAAGAGACTGATGGGGAACAGTGGAGTTGACCCTATTTCAGGGGCAGAGAGACACAGTCAGAATGTACGAAGGGATGGACCGTGTCCAAATTTCCAGGGCTCCATCAGTCTGAAGGAAGACAATTCCGCAAAATAAACTACTTAACCCAAGACCAGGAAAAAGAATAAATGTATTATCAAAAGTGATGGGAACTAATTGAATTGTGGTTAGTCTTCTATTTTTGAAGATGACTGAATAAAACCATCCTTATTTTTTTCCCTCCTATTTCATTTCTTAATTCACAAATTAACAGTTTCATAGTTCAGCAAATTTACAAAATCGGTGGTAAATGAAACACTTATTCACTAGTTATCTTGCTCCAATTGACCCTTTGGAACTCAGGGAGGGGAAAACAATCCACAAATTACAAGCTAGACTTAAGAATGATGATTATGTAGGGGAAAGGACACATATTATCTTTATCTACAAATTACTAAAAACAATGGCTAAATGTCATACTGCCTTGACTATCCTAAGTTAAGAAGTCTCAGTGGCACTGCGAAAAAGCAATAGGCTGCTAATCAAAAGGTTGATGGTTTGAACCCACCAGCTGCTCCATGGGAAAAAGACAAGACAGCCTGCTTCTGTGACAGCCTTGGAAACGCCCCAGGTTCCTCTCCTCTGTCTTAGGGTTGTTATGAATCAGGATTGACCTGAGAGCAGAGGGCTTCTATTTGTTTTACCAAGCTGCTTCATTTTGTATGATGCTACTTTTGTTCTATAAGAACTGGGTTTTTTTTCTTCCAATCAAGATACCGTGAAAGAAATCAAATGTATGGTGTCCATGGCTGTGCCAGTCACCTCAAGTTAATCCTGTTGGGAAGGAACAAGAACTGCGTTTCATATGTGGAAACAAGGATGAAACATCCTGAGCCCCCTTTATCACCTACGGGGTCCCAGCCTACAGAATCCCAGGCAGTAGAAAAGATATTACTGCAAAAAGGAGAGCATGAGGCGAGCTCTGGTGGCCTAGTGGCAAGAAGCTGCACTGCAATCCCAGAGATGTGAGGTTCGAATCCACCAGATGCTCTGCTGAAGGAGGGACAATCTCCTCCTGTACCAGTCAGATCTGATTTGACGATACACACGTTAAAAAAAAAAAAGGAGAGCATGGGACTCTCAAAGAAAGCAGCAGAGGCGAACTGGATGGCTTCTGGATCCTGAACTTGGAAGACAAGCTGAGAGGAATTTGGCCGGGGGTAAGCAGGAAGGCGAACAAAAACCCCTAATCCAATACAAACAAGCAAAGCACAGAAACCTATTAGTGGCTCATAAAAATAAATTACAGCCCTGGAGAATTCACAAACCTCCAGACACAAGTTAACTTTCAAGCATTAGCGTGTTACATGATTCTAGCTTCTGCTAACCAGACAAAGATGACAGCTTACTTGACGGTCAAGAAAACAGAACATTCCATTCTAACAAAGCTGAATCACGAAACTGCTAACCCAACCTCTGTGGTCAAACCCTTGTCCCCGGGGGCAGAGCAGTGGCCACGAGGAGGGATTACCAAGCAAAGCGGAGCCTGGGCTTTGCCAGCCTCTGAACACAGCTGCACAGCACCCTCCTCAGACAAAAGACAAGCGAAAAGGCATGCGGCATTCGGAGATAAACCCAAAAATAGCAGCGTTCCCAACAATGAAACCCTGAGCATTTCCTGTAAGTTAGAGGATCTCCATGCAAACAGTTTTATCTCTGATTTTTGCAATCTTCTTCTGAAGCTGTGTCACAGCTTTTGCAGATGTAATAATTATGTGGGGGGGAAAGCCCCACTGGTCCACCATGCAGACGACGAATGATAAACTCAGGAAACTGAACAACTTGAAGTTTTTTCCTTTATTTGTCTGTTGTTTTTTTAGTGGCATGTCATTCTGAAATCTGATTTCCTTTCAATTCCTGTGCGGGCTGACTTCTTTCCTTTCTAAATGTTTGTCTCTCTCTTTCTCTCACAAAAAGAAGAAAATCTGAACAAAGTCTAAGAGTTCTATCAAACAAGCGCACCCAAGTCACATACACAGTCTGCATACATACTAGGCTACATACGTACCAGGCTGACGTGCCCACCCCCCCGAAGTATGTGCACCCCTGAAACACACTGGAACTTTCTTCCCAGAAGAGGTGCTTTCTCTCACCCATCCCTGCTGCCGCCGAATCACTGCTCCCCAGCCGCCCCCCTGGTGGCACCCACCTTGACGGAGTTGTCCTGGCTGGAGGTAGCAAGGACGTGCTCACTGTCCGGGTGCCAGTCAAGGCCGTGGATTTTGGAGAGGTGAGCTGCGAGATACTCCACCGCTGTGCTGGGTTTCTGGGAGAGATCGGGGCTCAGTGAGCAGTGCTGTTCACAAAGAACCCACAGAGTGTCCACCGTGTCCAGTCGACACAGACTGAGGGAGGACATGACCACTACCAGATGTGGTCTTTACCATCACTTCTGAAACTTGCTTTTCCTTTTTTCATCAAACCAAAAGACCCAGGTACTTGTGAGTTGGTCAATCTTTTGTTGCAGAAGCATAAAAACAGAGGAAGAAACTAAACATTTTCTAATACATGTCCAACTCATCAGAGTGACAAAAACTTTAAACCGGACATGGCAGCACGCTGGTGAGTAGGGAGCAGGAGAACGTCATGAACCTACGTGGCAAGTGTGTTGTCACTGGGGTGGCTCCTATAGGCTCAGCTTCGTTCTGCTCCAACGGCCCCTCTTGGAGCTGTCCCTCATTTTTTTCCCTAACAGATTTTCAAGTGAGTAAAGGCTTACAAATCATACTAGTTTTTCACATAGTCATTCATAGACATTTTGCTAGCTAACACTGTCATTGATCAATGTAATTACTTATGGTGGTTAACGCTCCATCTCACATACTTTGAGCATGTGTGTGGCCAGGAGAGACCAGTCCTTAGAGAAGGACATCATGCTCGGAAAGATGGAGGGACAGCTCAGAAAAGAGGAAGACCCCAGACGAGATGGGTTGATACAGTAACTAGGGGAATGGGGATTGGTGTGTTGGAATTTGTAAGACTAGCTCGGGACAGTTCAGAGCTGCTGTGCACAGGGTCGCTATGCATCACAGGCAACTTGACATAACAACATAACGACCACCACCAACAACAATGCCTTATCTTTGTGCGTTACTTTTTTGTGTTCTGTACCTAATTTTACTACCAGTTTCCATTCAAAACCACTTAGGAGTGGAGTGATTCCACTTTTGTTCCTTGACCAAGAATCTCTTGCTCCTGAAAGTCTTAAGAAATAATACAACAAGGATGGGAAGTGGCATCTGTCACCATGATGGTGAAGAAGACAAGAGAGCACTCCGTTTGGTTTGGTTTAAGACAAACAAAACCACAGCGTGTGGTTTATTCTGCTCTCCTGCCACCGTGCTCTGTAACGGGGCCTGAGAGCCAGACTCGTCCTCAGCTGCAGGAAGGAGACGAGCTGGTGTTTCTCACCCTTGGGCACCACAGAGTACAATATCTGTTCTGCGTCCACACAGACACATAGGAAGGAGGACTGACGTGCAAGCAGCAAACCCGACCTCTCTCCTGAGGCCGAGGCTACCCATGGTAAAGGCAATCCAGAACTAGGATCCTCAGACGGAATGGACGTCACACCACACCAGAAAACACCAGGGATCAGGTCTGTGTGAAATGAACAAACTCAAAAGGAAAGTTCAGGGGTGCACATTCAAACAAGAGATTTTTAAACTTATCAAATTGAAAGGTCTATCTACATCATCCTCTCCATCTGTGAGGCTGCACTGTCATCCCTGGTGAACACATGAAATACCATGATGCTTTGGGGGGGGGGATGGAATATTTATCCAGAGATAAATAAAAGGTTTTCTTTTGTTGCTGTGGTTATATGTCACCAAGTTGACTCAAAGTGACCCTGTGTACAGCAGCTCTGAACCCTGCTCTATCCTGAGCCAACCTTATTATCTCTGACACACCTACACCCATACCTAGTCACTTACCCATCTCATTGAGGGTTTTCCTTTCTTGTGCTGGCCCTCCTCCTTTCCCCCCCAAAAGAATGCAAATTTACAATGTCACCAAAAAAATGTGTATGGACTGTTGAATAGAAAATCAATTTGCCCTATCAACTTTCACCCAAATCACAGTAAAAGGTATCTTTTAAAAAGGCTCATCTTGGTGTTATTCAGAATATTAACAAAATACAGAAAACACCCCAAATGGGAAAGATGTATCTTCAGTAATATTAAAATAAATTATACATATAATCGTGTATAGAAGCAGGGTGCAAATACACAAGCACTAATTAACCAAACATTTCATTTAAATCAATATTAGAGTGTTATGTTGGTGACAATTTGAAAAACAAAACAGGGGGATGGAGGAAAAAATCTATAACCATAGTGAGACAGAAGGAAAAAACCAATCCTCCAAAGATGTGTCTGTTCCAATTTCTATTTATAAAATCATTTTCTCACTGAAGAGCTGCAAAGGGCTCCAACCAGCACCAAGTTCCCAGGAGGCCCTGGACGCCTGGTCTAGCACATACAGCCCTTGCCTGGCTTCTCCACCCCTCTGCATTGTGTTGTTTGACATCCTGTCTGCTGGGAGATAAGGAAGCAAGGCTGGGACTTCACCGGAGCCCCTCCAGCATCAGTTCCAGAGAAAGGCTAAGGACCCCTAGCCTTGGGTTTCAAAGCAGGAAGCAGTATTACGTCCAGATCTTACAGACGTCATGACCCAAGTCTTCCAGCAGGAAGAGCGAGGAGGCCCTTTCCCGGCCTGTGTTCCTATCCTCTGGGCGGCAGCATGCCTAATTTCCAACAGCCTTTCCACACCAACAGCTGCCTAGGACCCCACACTGCTTCATGTCTCTCAGGTCCCTGGACTGATGGAGAGAATGTGTACACTCCACGGGCTACTCGGCTGATGGGACATCTAGACTTCATGGGGAATTTGGGCCTAGGGAGCAGCCTGCATCCATAACTGATATAGGAACATTCAGGATAACGCTGATCCTAGAACACAGTTCACAGTGCAATCTGGTCCAGGGATCAGAAGCCTGCTGACCATTCTAGAACAGTATCTGTGACCAGAGTTTGATCTCAATAGCTGGTACTATCATCTTTATTCTGAAGATGAGGAGACGGAGGCTGAGTGAAGTTAGAGTGGTTTACCAGATGTTACAATGAGGAGGCAGCAACACGGAGACTCTTGGATTAGGCCCCGTTCATGCCCTTAACCACGGATCCCTTCCCTACTCTCGTTCAATACTAAGTGGGACGGGAAGCAAATGTCACCTGGCACCAAGTTCAGCATGCCATACGGGGCACCAATCCTGACACTCACATCTTCACACTCTCCTGCAGGGGCCAAAGACCAGTCTGGGTCAGGGTGGGGTGAGGGGACAAGATCACTTACCCGCTTGTCCCATATCCGTACGTCCCCATCATGACTGGTGGCAAGGCAGTTCGCATTCTTTTTATTCCATTTGACCTGAGAGGCACCCGCTGCAAAGGAAACCCAGAGAAGAAAGCTGGAACCTCAAAGCCACCGGCACCAGAGGGAGGCTCACCCTCAGGGAGGGGAACGAGTTCGAGCTGCACAGGCTCAGGATCCCCCAGGCTTCCAGGAATGAGCCGCCTCCACCACTAAAGTTCACAAGAAGAGAAGCCAGAACACAAAGTCACACATGGGAGAGGCTCGGGGTCTCTTAATTAAGGAAAACACTCTAACTTAGGGGACAAAGTCCCACGTTCCCTCCCAGTGGGGATGCACAGCTCGGCAGGAAGTAGCAGACATGGTTAAGCAGCTCAACACAGAATGCTCCACGCCACCAGAGTTCCGAGAAAAGGGGGATCAGGTCGCCAGGATTTTTGAGCCCTCAGCACAGCCACATGGGTACTGACTCCCCATACAGAGCGCCTCCTCTGGTGAGACACAAAGGCTGACCCTGGTCCACAGCACTGAACAGAGAGACACGGTCCCTGACCTCACAGGGCTGATGCTGCAGCTGCTGGCTACAGCTTTGATGCTAAAAAGCATTCAAGAAAGAGATGCAGGGGAAAAGGAGAACCGTGAAAACATTTCAGAGCAACCATCACACGTGTACTCTGATATTTTAGGGTGGTGGGTAGTACGAAGCAGCAACATTTAAGAGACAGACTGTATATTTTGCTGAAGGTTTCAAAGAACAATATTTATTGGGCTTCATCACCGTAAATTACACCAGTTCTATACCCAAAATCTGCTCTTGCATAGTGGTGGGAAATGCCAATTCCAAAAAAAGCACTCAATGAAGGGAAGCAATGCTAACACATAGGTCAGAAGGTCATTTCTGAGACTCAGTTCTTTAATATTAAACAACTGTTTTCCTGTCAAGCATTCCTCTAGGAGGTACAGCACTGGTCTGTGCGTTGCTGTACAGAGGGAACTCATGGTTGCTGTGATGCTGAACACTGTGAAAGTGATGTGCCAAACGTGGTAACAGGTACCCATGGTGGGCAGTGCTGGCTGGAGCTTCCCGACTAAAACAAGCCTGGAAGCAGGAGCGGCATCCACTTCCTAAATGGCTTGCCTCCGGAAATGCTATGTACGAACAGTGCTCAGGCCATTCGTTTATAAAGTCGCTACGAGTCATCTACGACTCGACCACACCTAACAACAACAACATAGAACATGAAGAGCATAAACCACATCTTAGGAAAATCACAGACAACTGGGTTTCTTTAAAAAGTAAACCGTGGAGCGCTGGTGGCCTAGTGACAAGAAGCTGCTCTGCAATCCTAGAGGTACGCGGTTTGAATCCCCAAGATGCTCCGCTGGAGAAGGAGGGACAATCTCCTCCTGTACCAGTCAGATCTGATTTGACGGTACACACTCCTCCTCCTCATCATCATCATCATCAAAGATGTAAACCACAAGGGAGCTTTGGTGGTCTAGAGGTAAGAAGCTGCACTGTAGTCTTGAAGACACACAGTTCAAATCCACCAGCTGCTCAGCCTGCAGGAGGGTCAACTATGGGTCGGGTTTGACTGCATGGTACACAACAACCACCAAAAACTCATGATGATTCACCATAAAATAAAAGGGGGGTGAAACTTTACCTATTTAAAAAAAGAGAGAGAAATTGATTAGCTACTTGCAATTATAGACTTCATTTGAATATTGATTAAAATTGGTTTTTAAAGAAATTATGAGTCTCTTCGGGAAAAGTGAATTAACTGCTATATGATTATTAAGAAACTCTTGTTAATATTTTTAAAGAGTTCCAGTGATGTGGTGGATAAAGCACTCAACTGCCAACCAAAAGATTGGCAGTTTGACTTCAAGAGCTGCTCTGCAGGAGAAACATAGGGCAGTCTGAGTTTGTAAAGGTCTGTACTCACAGAAACCCTTGAGGGAAGTTCTGCTCTGTCCTAAAGGTTCCTGAGTCAGAACTGACCTGGCAGCGGTGGGGTTTGGATTCACTGGTATTTTAATGGTGGTGGGTGGTTGTGGATGAGGTGGAACCGACTGTTGTGCTGACCCTTCAGCAGGTTTTCAGAGGCAGTAAATCACACAGGAAGACACTGCCCATCTTCCTGCAGAGTACCTGGCGGATTCAAACCACGTGCTTTTGGGATTGCAGAGCAGTTTCTTACAACTAGGCCACCAGAGCTCCCTATTTTAATGGCAGTAGGGTTATTTTTAAGGACTCTTAACTCATTTAAAAAATACATATTCTAGGTGGCCACTCCACCATATTTCCTTTCGAGGAGGGAGATGCACTTTTTTTGGGATGTAACTTTCTAATAAATCTATCTTTACTTTTTACCTTAAAAATACATATATGTTTATTAATATCTTTTGATAAAACGTGTTATCTGTAATTTGCTTCCAGATCATCTCACGGGGGCAGGGCAGTGGGCAGAGATACAGAGGAACTAAGACTGGCTGTGCGCTAACAGCTGTTGAAGGTGGATGATGGCTATTACAGTTCATTTTCTTCTATTTTCATAGACATTTGCCATGAGCAAAGTTTATAAAACAAACAACCTGACTCCTCTCCTTGGAATCTGAAATAAATCCCCCCATCCCCGCACTCAAAGCCCTACATCAGCAGGCCCTTGAAGCATGCAGCTAATCATCTAGCAAGCCAGGGGGTGCCTGAGAAGTGGGAGTGGGGACGGCGGAAGTCACATTCGGGCTGAGACACTCACCTACGGCAGACAGAGCCACAGTGGGCTTCCTGGTGTCCCTGCAATAGAAAGGTCAACAATCAAACGCTGCCCCTCACCCTCTGTACATCTCCCTTCACTGTCCTTCACTTCATGGGGAGCCTTGATCCTCCTTCTCTTCTCCAATCTCTTTCCGGCATTTCTTTCACTTCCTAAATGATGTATCTGCCCCAATCTTTGTCTCAAAGCCTGCTTCTAGGGAAAACTAAATCTGTAAGGTCCCTGAGCTCTGGAACAAAGTCCTCAACCATCCTATGACAAAGGGCTCTTGTCTCTCAATCGTTCTTACTTGATATCCCAAATGTAGATGTAGGTGTCCACGGAGCTGGTAACCAGCAGATCTGGCTCGAACACGGCCCAGTCCAAATCACTAGGAACATAAGAGAAACATGCAAAATAAAGAGAACACTGCAATTGGAGGGGTGTGTGTGTAATCTGAATGTCTGGAAACTTTAGCTATGCTGTCAACTTTGGAAAAAGTATCCCATTTGTACCATGTTGAGGTGGCACTCTACAGTAATTAGTGGCCATACTGGTCTAGAAGTGTTACACTTAATTTTTTTCCCCCTCACTTGTACAAGGGTAACATACTGGAATGTCTTATGCATATTACAAAATGAATAAAGTATTATCTGAATAATGGGGGGGGGGGAAGACATAAAGAAAATCAAATAAGTTAGAGGCGGGTTCCAGAGCACTAGTGCACGGAGCCTGGGCGGCTTCAGGGAGACACTAAACAGGCGAGGGGCATCTCCAAAGACCTGTGGGAACAAATGCGTTTTAATTGATCCCTGAAGGAGCCTTTCAGGTTTTCTCCCCCCGTAGTCCCCAGATATCTGACTGACTACTCCAAAAAAAAAGAAATGAAGCATTTCAATTTTTTTTTTATTGTATTATTTTATGTGTACCATCAAATCAGATCTGACTGGTACAGGATGAGATTGTCCCTCTTTCTCCAGCAGAGCATCTGGTGGATTTGAACCGCATACCTCTGGGATTACAGTGCAGCCTCGTGCCACTAGGCCACCAGACGGAGCATTTCAATTTAACCCACAGAAATAAACAGCAAAAAAAAAAAGAAAAGAAAAGCAAGCACACAGAGTGATCTCTGAGCTATCAAACTACAGAGGCCTTGAGTAACCCAACGTCTCTCCACATGATGGCAAACTGATGCACCTAACTGGTTTTGGCCTTGGCCCTCCTTATACTCACCCACATTGCTAGAAAAGCAGATACTACACAGAAGAGTTACCATAAACTCTAAGCCCAACCTTCCCCATCTCCTTCCAGATTGGCTTCAGTACTCCCGCACCCTGCTGCTCCTCCCTAGAATGAGTTTTCCCTACTAAAAAACTGTGGCTGAGGGAAAGAATGGGCCAAGGAATGTTCTGGAAGCCAAGTGGAAGACCACGAGTAGGAAGTAAGTCTGCATTCAAACAGCAACTGTGATGTAGTAGCTTTATGTGCCAGGTCACAGCTGCAGGAGAAAGGGTGCAGGTCTGCTTTCTGGTGCCCCGTGGATTCTGGGGCACCACTACGGTGGACAGAAGCATTTGGCTGGCAACGCATCCTTTCCCTCCTCCAGTAAAGATCACATCTAATCTTCCTCTCTGGATTGGGTTTTATTTAATAATTTCTAGACCAAGGCTGATAGGTGCACAGAGGCTGGTTCCTAAATGCTGTTTGTGCTGCCCTGTGAAAGTCATCATTCAGTGAATGTGAGGCTCTCACAGGCAAGGCCAGTGCAGCAGAGCCACACTAAGCCCATGGAGAGGTGGCCCCCAGGATCTGGGACAGAGTGATGGCGTCCACCATGGGCCTGGAGATCTCTGAGCAGAAGGCTTAGCACTGAACACAGCAGTGTGCTCTCTAACCCGAAAGCCAATGATAAATGACGGACCAAGGAGCTGTGGGTGCTGGTGCCTACCTGATGACTCGCGTATGGCCTTGTAAGGTTGTGCCAACTTCCCCATTGCCGTCTTGCCACTTATAAAGGTCAACCCGCTGGTTACTCTGGAGGAAACAACAAACAAAACCAAACCAACAAGTATTATAACATGCAGGTGAGAAGAGATGCTCAAGATTGAAAAAAGAAGACTGATAGGAAGGAACGAGTATGCTAAACATCTTACAGGTTGAAGTTTGAAAAGAAGTCATCAGATAACCAAGATTAGCTCGAACCAGGTACATGTAGGACTTTGTAAAACAGCAAGGAAGGCGGCTGTCTATTTAAAACTGCCTCTCCTTGAGTGACTTTTCTAAAAAAAAAAACAAAACTGCCTCTCCTGAAACAGTTACAGCTGAATGGAAGCCAGAGATGCTCAGGGGAGCAGTGAGCTATGGGCGTCCTGAGCCACAGGAGGAACCTCCTCTACGCTCTACACGTAACTCTGTCTCTTGTCTTGACACCTGTGGTGTCAGTTGTTTATTGTTCAAAATGGCTTTCGTAGCTATTGGTTAACTTTTTTTGTGTAAAGTATTTATTGCATTAAAGAGGTAAGATTACGGTATGATACAGGCCCCACCCTACTCGAGGCTTATATGAGCTCAGTGCCCCCACTCTTCTGGGAAGCTCACTCTCCTTGGACACGGCATCCGGCTGCACTACAGGTGTCAGTCTGCAGGATCCTGACCTACCGCTCACCAGTCTCTACAAACCCGGCCTGCAGCACCCGCAGTCGTGTAAGTCATTTCCCTGATGAGTGTGAGTTTCTGGGAGACCTTCCAGTGAACCACCAAACCCAAGGGACAAAGAGGAGTAGGGAAGAGAACGAAGGAGGAACAGGTGAAGTCAGAAACCACAGAGCAGGACAGCAGAGCAAACATTTGGGACACTATTGACTTCTGCCTTCTATGTAACTAGTCTGCTAATAATCCTAGCAAACGGATTTTAAATGCACCACTTATAGGTGTTTTCAGTTCACTTTTCCCACTATTAAAATGTCTACAGTTCATGAACCATATTTCTTAAAATGTCAATACAGAGAAAGAAGGAAATACCACCAAAAAGCTGTCCTACAAGATAAAATTAGACAAGGCCCCTTGACATCTACTTAACCATCTAAGCAGAAAGAGATGGGGAAGGGGGGAGGGTAAAAAATATCACAACAGGGAACTCTGGGGCCAAAGTCCATTGGTAGTAACACTGAACCTCTTCTGCAGTTCAAATCCACCAAAGGCTCCATAGAAGAAGGATGGGGAATTGCATCCCATGTGATTTACAGTCTCAGAAACTCGCTGAGGGGTCAGCCTCAAGTCTGTTCTAGCTAGCCAGCAAGGAGAAAGAGAAGAAAGGAGGTTGGTGGGGGATGGAGGAAATTATCATCAAAAGGCAATATACAATAGGGGGCTGGTCAGAGATTACAATAAATTACATTAAAGCAAAGTACCTATGAATGAATGACTAGAAAGCCAGTGCGATTTGTAGACTTTCATTGAAAATATTTAATTCAGAAACAACCTATCTGAAGGGACACCAAGTTTCTGATAAAAGTGACAAAAAACCTTGGCAGCGGACTGTAGTGATTCCTGAACGACATGGTGAGTGTCACTATGTCACTGAATCACACCCATAAATAAAGATGAAAATGGCCTTCATTCATTCTGTCGTATACATTTCACCAATTAAAAGAAGAAAATGCTTGGTTCTGAGCAACATTAACATTATTTACTTATCGGCTCTATTTTGTAATACAGAAAAAATTGTTTTTCAGAATTATGAATTCATATAACTACCAACAATAAAACTAAGGAAGCAGATTCAATGGCTATGAGTATGAGAAATGATATATGATAGTCTTAATTGACAGACTTTCATTTTAGCTCAGATACAGACGGATGTATAAAGTTATGGCATTTTTATTTTGAAGTATCATCAGTCTCCAGCTCTAAGTAAATAAGGAGTCAATGACAATGAGAACCTATTGCCACCTAATCTATTCCTACTCATACTCAGTTCTGTAGACAGGCAGAACTATTGGGTTTTGAAGGCTGCAATCTTTACAGGAGCAGACTGCCAATCACATCTTTCTCCCACAGGATGACTGGTGGCTTCAAACTGCTGACCTTTCTGTTAACGACAGAGTGCTTTAACCACTGCACCATCAGTCAGGACCTCTTGTGAAAAGGACAGGATTAAAATTAGCTCTCGGGCCTTTTCCTTTATCGCCTTTTGAGAAGGAAGGTCCATCCCTTCTGGGCTGTAACTTTATAATGAATCTATCATTACTATTTATTCTAAAATAAAAAAATTTTAGAAAAGCTTCCAGTATACGAGTAGGAGCAAAAGAAAGGTCCCCCCACCCTCCTCTAATAAGAGTACACACAAAAAATAATGAAATAAAACAAAAAAAAATTTTTTTAAAAACTTAAGGTCATTTTTAGAAGATTATATTTTCCTTTTTTTTTAATTATTTTTTGTGTGCGTACTGTCAAAACAGATCTGACTGGTACAGGAGGAGATTGTCCCTCCTTCTCCAGCACAGCATCTGGTGGATTAGAAGATTATGTTTTTCTTAAAAAAAAAAGGCTAGAGAAAAGGAAGAATCTACCTGCTTCCTCTCATCACCTGGATTCATTCTTTAAAAATACAAGGTCTGATAACCCAGGAGATTGGCAAACATTTATTTACATCTGGTGGCCCAGTGGTAAGAAGCTACCCTTCCAACCCAAAGGCAGTCTACCCTCTGAAAACAGGCTACAGGGTCAGCTCTGAGCTGGTTCCAACTCTACAGCACATAATAACAACATACTGTTGTTGTTGTTGTTATGTGGCGTCGAGTCGTTTGCGACTCCTAGTGACCTCATGTACAACAGCCCTAAACTCTGCTCTGTTCTGTACCAATCACACTGCCTCTGACACTCCCATCCCGATCACCCCAGTCACTGAATCAATCCACCTCATAGAGGGCCTTCCCCTCCTGCGCTGTCCTCCACCCTCCCAAGCATGATGTCCTTCTCCAAGGACCGGTCCCTCCTTACAACATGTCCAAAGTACGTTAGACGGAGCCTCAGAATCCTTGTCTCCAAGAAGCCATATACATATTTATTTAAATCTGCGATTTGACATCTTCAAGGATACGTACATGTACAGCCAAGCACAATCAATAAGAGTGCATCTGAATTCCAAAATCAATCTCCATAATAGTCTATGTGTTTCCTACTGCCAAAGGGGCCCTTTAGAGTAGTGAGAGAAGATCTTCACCCTGAAACCCACAGCGTCCCTTTTCAGCAGTAAGTAGCTAAGAGAATACGCCGTCCCCTTTTCCTTATGACTCAGGGTGAAGTCTCTCTCAGGGAGGAGTGATAGGGAATGGCAAAGGATACACTGACAAAGAAGATTAATCAGAACTGGCTTTGACAAGCACTGTGGCATTTGGACAAGAACAAACTGGGAGGAGGGTGGAGAGAGTGGTGCAGCAATGAATGAGTGGAAGCCCAGAATCTCTGTAAATGTTTATGAAAATTAATAAAATATAATTATAGAGAAAAAAAATAAATCTGCTATTTGCCTCCACCTTTCTTTTAGAACCATTCAAACTTCTTTCCTAAGAAGCGAAGCTTAGTTCTCTTTTCTCCACTTAAAAGATCTGCCACCCAAAAGCGCATGGTTCAAATCCACCAGATGCTTCTCCACTGGAGAAGGAGGGCAATGTCTTCTGGTGCCTGTCAGATCCAATTCGACAGCACATGGCAGGTAAGAAAAATAAAAAGATCTGCCAGCTCAGGCCAGCCCAGTGCCTTCCCTTGCATCCCAAAACGAGCTCACCGAAGCCGCGAAGTAGTGTGCGAAGCTGTCATGGGGATTCCACTGCACGGCGCCGATGTCCCATTTGCTCTGGCGAGAGATCTTGCGGTGTCCTTCAAAAGGGGCATCTAGATTAACGATGTACAGGAATCGGCGGCTGGGACAACAAAAACACATACAATATTAGCATGAAGATGGAAAAGTCCATTCGGAATTGCACAGAGTCTGCAAGTGGTGCTAAAAAAAAAATAAAAATCCAGATACATCTCTCCTCTGAAAGGCATACAAGGGACAAGAGTCATGGTGGCTGTGAGGCAAACGAGGCTCATAAGTCCTTTATGAGGCTACTGCACAGACTGTCTTCCCTAACACGCTCTGCTGTGAGAATTCTAACCTCTTCCCACCTTCAGCTTCAACTCCCTGCCTCAGCCTCTTCCGACACCCCCCATCCCTGCCTCCACAGGACCCCCCATTGCATGGACTGCTTTTCACTGCCAGCACTCAGCTCTACAGCAAAACTACTGATATATTAAGGCGCCGGTCTGGAACCAATGCATGACTGGAGTGCGGACGATGTCACACTATCTTTGTTAAGCCCTGTGTCACCAGACTGGGGTCTTTTCATGTAGTGAGCAACTGATAAACGTGTGAATTCAAACACACCGCTCTTCATTTAGCCAAAGAACCTAGTGAAAAATCTCCAATTTCTTTGCAATTCAACTGCCTGGTAAAGGGAATTAAATGAAACTGACCACAAGGAGAAATAATCATCAGGAAAAAGTAGTTATAATAATTAAAATAACACACGAAGTACCATAGTGTCAAGCAATATTGACACATTAAAATAAGGATGTTCAATGTTAGGTGTTTCTGTGCCAAAAAAAAAAAAATTAAAAACTCACATCCTCTGTTTGCCAAGTGCTCTCTTCCCTTGGGGGGCTTTCTTGCAAACACGTAATGCTGACTTTAAAAAAAAAATCCATCACACCACCACAGCAACATATTATTTAAAAAAGGGAAAGAACTGCATACAGGCGTTTAGGAAAATACTCCCGAAGGTAAGGGGAGCACAAAGAAAGATAGAAGGAGTGCAATTTATTTGAGTCAAAATACGGGTAACCGTACCTCAAAAGCAAGGAAATGGAAAGTCAAAATGTCATGTAAAACTCTTGCGTGAGAACAGATAACAGAAACCCCAAACAGGGGTGGTTACAAGAGAAGAGGAAAACACAGGTTAATTTCACAGACTCTCAGGCTGCTAACAAAGTCAGTGCAGAAAAAAAGACCTCTGGCCTCTTAGGCGCCTGTGAAGGGAATCCCATGATCCTGGGGCAGGCAAGCTGACATCTTCCCATTAGTAAGAAAAGCACCACAGGGTTAAGAGCTATATGTTTAGGGAGTGGATCAAGAGGGGATTTGAAAGAGATTAAAGTGCGTATGTAAAAAGCGCAAAGTGGGCACTTCAAAATAAACATGGCTGGTAGAACATATGTGCTTAGCCGCATTCCCCCTTGAAGCCCCACTAAAATAAAAGTGGTGGAGGGGGAGAAAGGAACCCTCAAAGGAAAAGAAAATGGGAAAGGAAATGAAAAGCAGATGGACAAGTGGTAATTGATCCAAGGTAGAAAGTAAAGCCCAGTGCTTGCAGATGGAACTGATGGGGAAGCAAGTGACTCGGCCACCGGAGTTCAGGCAGCATGGGGACAGGAGGCAAAGCAAAGGATTGGGCTGGAAAAACAAAACAAGGGGGCTCCCTCCGAGGAGGGATTTTTGTCACCCTCTTGAGTCATGGAGCAAGTGGGCCCTGCTCATCAGAGACACACTGGACAGAGACCCAGTAAAGAAGACAAACCAGGGGCATGCTGAGAGCTGTGTGGTCCTTAAGTCTCCCCTACTTGGCCCTGTCAAGGCTAGGCTTTTATTCTTCAAAGAGAACGGACCATGCCTCTCAGGAGAGAAATAAGAAAGGATCTTTTCAGTCCAAACGAGAAAAAAACAACAACAACCAAAAAAAAAACCCAAAAAGCGCAAACCAACCACAACAAAATCCTCAAGATAATTACATTTGGGCTCCCCCACCAGAAGGGTCTAGTTTCCATGTGGTCCCCTTGCAGTGATGCCCACCATCAGTCCACATAAAAAGGCTTCAAGGGGAGCTCTGGTGGCCTAGTGGTAAGGAGCTGCAACTACAATCCCAGAGGCGCACGGTTCAAATCCACCAGATGCTCTGCCGGGGAAGGAGGGACAATGTCCTCCTGTACCAGTCAGATCTGATTTGACGGTACACGCACAGAAAAGTAATAAAATAAAATAAAAATTAAAAAAAAAGGCTTCAGTCGCTTTATATTAATAGAGAAATGATGGACATCAGTCATCAGAGGAAACCTGAGAAACAGACATCAACACAACCAAAAGGACAAAAAGGACACACAGGCAGCAGAGATAATGCAGAGGAAAGGAAAGTCAGCTGCCAGAGGTAACAAAAGGTGATGTTAAGGATGAGAAAGAGATCTTTGAGGTTAAAGTAATAGTTGAAATTAAAGACCTGCTGAAAGGATTGGAAATTCAAGTTGAAAACAGTTTGAATGCAAAACCAAGAAAAAAAGTCAGAAGAGAATTCATGCAGGACATCCAATGTCAATTAAGAGAAGTTCCAGAACAAATGGGAAAGAAAATGGAGCGAAGGAAATTATCAAAAACAAACTCACACTCACTGCTGTCAAGGCTGAACTGACTGACAGCTAACTAACCAGGGCGTTTTCTGAAGCTGTAAATCACACAGGAGGAAACAGCCCATCTTTCTCTTACAGAGCAGTGAGTGGATCCTAACCACCTGCCTTTGAGCTGAGAGCCCAATTCCTTATCATGAGGCCACTAGAGTTCCCTATTCAAAGACATAATAGAGGAAAATTTCTCCAAACTATAAAACAGAGATTTCCAGACTGAAAGGGACTCCCAATGTACTAAAATATCATCTCTATTTTACTCTGAATGATGGTCACATTGGTACATAAAAAGTAGGTGAACTGTTCATTTAAGGTTAGTATACTACACATTTTACTATAAATATTTTTTTTAATTCTATATTAAAAAAAAATAAAAAGGAGAGCTTTGAGCTCAGAATGCCAAGGGATGTAGACATAAGACCAAAACTGTGTGCAACTTAAGATAAATAAATTACTTCATCAAAAGTAAGAACCTTGGTGCATGAAAGCACTTTATGAGCAGAGTGAAGAGATATTCTATAAATTGAGAGAAAATATCTGAGAACCATTTAAGTGTTCCGTATGCAAACTTTAAAGAACTTCTACAGCTACAACTTGAAAGCAACAAAAATACCCTTCCAATAAAAAATAGGTGAAGAGATACTTCACCAAAGAAGACACAAAAATGGTCAAGAAGCATACGGAAAAGGGGAGCTCTGGTGGCCTAGTGGCAAGGAACTGCAACTACAATCCCAGAGGTGCACGGTTCGAATGCACCAGATGTTCTGCCGGGGAAGGAGGGACAATCTCCTCCTGTACCAGTCAGATCTGATTTGACGGTACACGCACACAAAAATAAGAAAGAAAAAAAAATAAAAAGAAAAGATGCATAATTGTTTCATTAGTCACTGTTGTTCTTGTTAGATGTCTTCAAGTAAAGTGACCCTATGAACAGCAGGTTTAACCTCTGTCCTATCCTGTGCCACCCTCATCATCTCTGACATTCTTACAGCCATTGCTCGAGCCACGGTGTCAATCCATGTGGCTGAAGGTCTTCCTCTCTTTCACTGACTCTTGACTTTTCCAAACATGAGGTCCCTTCCCAAAGAATAAGCCTTCCTAACAAAATGTCCAAAGTATGTGAGACAAAGCTTCACCATCCTTGCCCCCAAGGAGCACTTTGTCTGTACTTCATCCAAGACATTTCTGTTTGCTCTTCTGGCATCCATGGGATATTTGGTACTCTTCTCTAACACCACAGCTCAAAGGTATCAATTCTTTTTCTGTCATCCTTATTCATTGTACAGCTGAGATGCACAGCAAGTAATTAAGAAGACCATGGCCTGAAACAGGCACACCTTAGTCTTCAAACTGTCATCATTGCTCCTCGATATTTTGGAGAGGTCTCTGGTAGCTCACTTTCCCAATGCAATACCTCTTCTCATCTCCTGATTGCTGGGAGTAAGGATATTGACTGTGAAGCCAAGCTAAGATGAAATCACTGACAGTTTCAATCTTTTCTCTACCTATTACAATGTTGCCTATCAGCCCTCAGTGGTGAGGAAAATGCAAATCAAAACTATCATGAAATCCTGCTTTACCCTGTTAAGATGGATGTTATCAAATAATAACAAATCATTGACTAAGACGTAGAGAAAGTGGAACATTCATCCATTATTACTAAGATTATAAACTGGTGTAGGCCCTATACAAACCGTATGAACTGATAAAAAAGGTAACACAACTACCATTTGACCCAGTAATCTCATTCTTAGTTATAGGAGCGAAAGAGATTAAAGTGGTATACCAATATTCACTGCGGCAGTACTGACAACAGAGAAAAGGTCAAATCAACTCAAATGTCCATCAAGATGAATGGATAAGCAAAAGATGGCATATCTACACCAAACCCAAAACCAAACTCACTGCCAAGCCCCATTCCTAGGGACCCTGCAGAACAGAACTACCAAGTCATAAATCTTTATGGTAGACTGACAAATCTTTCTTGTGTAGAGAGTGGCTGATGGATTCGAGTCACTGACCTCTGAGCACTTAACCACTCAGCACCATGCTCTCTCGCACGCGCGCGAGAGAGAAAGAACGAGCTCTGACAGCCTAATTGGTAAGGAGCTGTACTGCCAAACCAAATGTAAACAGTTTGAATCCACCAGCTGCTTGTATACATGGAGCTCTGATGGCCTAGTGGGTAAGGAATTGCACTGCCAACCCAAGGTAAGTGGTTTGAATCCACCAGCTGTTTCGGTGAAAAGAGACAGGTGATCACCTCCTATGTGATTTACAACCTCTGAAAGCCCAGTGGAGGGTCAGTTACGAGTTGGTTCTGAATGACTTAATGGCATGTAACAACAATAGTGTGTGTGTGTGTGCGTGTGTGTGTAAATGTATATACAGAGGCAATCTCCTTCTAGGCCATTTTCAGCCTCTGAAAACCAGCTGGAATATCAGCTATGAGTTGTTTCTGATGTGATAACATAACAATAGTACGTATGTATATGTGTATATGTACATATATATACATTTTGTCCATATTAGAATATTATTTACCATAAAAAGAATTGATGTTGTGACAGATGCTGTGATATGGATGAATCTTGAAAACATTATGCTGTGTAAAATAAGTCAGACACAAAAGGATAAATATTATATCATTCCTTGGACATGAAATAACCAGAAAAGGCAAAGGCACAGAGACCAGAGTTTCTCCTTGCTTACTGGGGTAGAGTGGGGAGCAGTGAATAGGAAGTTATTTTGTAAGAAGCACTGAATTTCTGTCAGAAGTGATACAGAAATCTGGAAGTGGACAGTGGTCATGGCTGCATGTGGTGAGCATACTGAATGCCCCTGAACTGTGCACCAAAAAATGGCTAAAACGACAAAGGCTGTTATATATACTTCACCACAATGAAAATGGGAAAAAATAATAAGAAAGGAAGGAGCCCAGAGGCAGAAAAGTGACACACCAATTTTTCTTCCTGCTCCCAGCATAAAATAAGAAAATGGTTAACAGTGTGTGTCTCTGGGGAGGGGGTCAAGCCTAAGATGGAAACTGACTTTTCATTTTCACTGGATAATCTTCTTTTTATCTATTTAAGTGTTTACCATATGCATTTGTAAAAGGTCAATTGAAAATAAAAATATTAATTTACTTGTAACTGGATTCACAAGCAACTAAGTGAATACAAAGTACAGTTGAACTTGGGAGGTAGGAGGACAACTGAGTTATATGAAAGGAAAGCAGGGCCCTGACCATTGAGTTCATCATCCTAGGGCTGTGTCAGGGTTAGTGGCAAATGCTCCTAACAGTCAAATTGATACAATTCTTGATCCAGGAAGCACTACAGTTGTCAGGTGATTCTACCTTCATGAGAAAGTGGAACTCCACAGGCACCTGATTGGTGGTATTGCTAAAGCAGAACCCAGGTCCCTCCACCCTGACTCCCTCTCGGATCATACCACGCTGCATCTTTCTCAGGAGGCCGTGCAATGAACAGAAAATCAAAATTCTAAGATCAAACCACCAGTCACTGACATTTCCCAGGATTTTTACTGCTATTAGGGCAGAGACAAAAATAAACTGCAAATAATCCCCACACATACCCCTGAGGTTATCAGTGCTAAACCCCATGACTATAATCCTTAAATATGAGAATATTTTCCATTTCCCCAGAATCCTCTTGATTTGCAATTTGTTCCCAGAAATCATGGCAGAGGAACTCTGAAAGCTCACTTACCCAGAAAGCACTGCATGCTGCCCAAGACAGTCCACAGACATGGCCGTCGCCTGTCACAAAGAACACAGATTCAGTGCTGCAAGCAAAGCAAGCCCAAGCCAGAGGGACGAGGTCAGTCACTTGTCACCTTTTCTCTTCCCATCTCCCAGGGCATCTTGGACTAACAGTTATCACTCCTTAGTCAGCTACTAATTAATGGATACTTTTAATTCATTCATACTTTCTACCCTCTCACAGTTCCCATCCAAATCTCACACTCATCATTCACCATAATCCAAGACCACAGCATCGCCTACAAATTGATTACAGCTCCGAGTGACCCTCTATCAGGTCTCCAAAGGCGCAGATCTTTACATGACAGGACTGCCCACCCTTCTCCCTTGATAATGAATTTGAATCCCAGACCTTCCTGTTTCCAGCTCTACATGCAATGCACTACACTGTCAAGGTTCCTTTCTGTTGACAAGAATGCAGCTGTTATCTGTCAAACAAACACGTGCGTGCGTGCGCGCACACACACACACACATTCCTCTAAGACCAAGACACACACAACCAAGCTATTACATTCTAGACTAAATATCCATCTCAGAGGCCGCAGGGAATCTGCCCGGCTTAGACACAGGCAGCAGCAGCTACTACTGGGCACAAGCAAAATTTAGCCCAGAGCCTTTTCCATATTCATACACATACACACAACAAACATATGCACAGGCCTTTCCAAAGGGCATATGATAGTAATACGCAAATACCAGCCCCGCATCATCCAATTTCTCACAGAGATGTCCAGTTCACATTCAATCTGAAATTTCTAGCACATTTTATCAGTTCTCATGTCCCAGGTCCCCCCACATCCTAGGGTGCAGCATTTTTTTTGAAACCCAATGTTCAATATCCAAAAGACTACACTGAGTCTCCAGGAGAAAGACTGGGGCTGATTTTGAATCATGGTCAAGGACACTCCTTAATTCTCCTAATTAAACAAGTTCAAATCTCGCTGTCTCTTCATGGTATTACCACAAGGTAGTTAGTACTTTTATTCAGTGACAACAAAGTTCAACATTAAAAGGCAGTGAGTTGGGGTGGAGGAGTCAGCAGGGGGGAAAATGCCAACAATGAATGAATGGAAATCCAAAGTCTCTGTAAACTTTCATTAAAATCAATAAAAAAGAAAAGGCAGTGAGTTTATGTTAACCGAGGAAGAACAACTCAGAGAGAGAGCGAGTGAGAACACTATATGCCTGAAAGAACTTCATATCACTGAATTTTACATGCTGAAACTCGTGTTGGATTGGTCTATGTTTTACTGTGTATAGTCTCAACATTAAAATAAAGTGAAGACAAAAAACTAACCCAACAATGCTCTCTAAATATTTTCCAAGAGGCTGTCAAGAAAGAATTCACTCTGTACTTCCTGCCACAATTACAAAGGCAAACAAACTCTGCCCCGTGCCCTTGGTGCTGTTGATCATGGGTTTCTACACGTGTATATCTGTAAGAAACACATCCTGGGAAACGCTGGGGACAAGAAGCCAGAGAATTCTTCCTGGAGGCTGCAAAGTGATTCATATTCATCCTTTGCTGCACTAACGTCATGTGTAGAGAAAAGCTCAGTGGGAAAGTCAGTCAGGGAAATGAGTTGTCATTTCCAGAAGTCTTCGCCTGTGCAATTTACAGATCAATGACAGGTAAGAGGGAAAAATGAACACCTCACACCAGAGGGAGTGGAATCTTCCTAGAGTGTCTGTAGTAGGCAGAATCCTAAAACAGCTGCCAAGATCTGGCCAGCGTTCAAACTTGTTCTTCCTGGTTCAGCTTGGCCAAGAAAGAAAAAAAAAATCACAACAGAACCAAATTTGTAAACTGTAAATGGACTTGAGAGATAACCAAAGTGGGAAAAATTATGGGTCAACGCTCTGCTAGAAACGTAATCTCCCTCTAAAATACAAGAGTAGCGAGTACATTGCATAGCAAGCAAATCTCGAGTCCGCAGAATCAGAAACAGCGGCCCCTGGCTCAAAGACGGCCACCAACCCAGGGGCTTGGAACGCCTGTCACTCTCCTCATCACGCTCCTGGAAGGACTCATTACAGCTCTCCTAAACCTCCTGTTCCAGGTCTTCACCCCATAAGTTTTCTCTTTCCGGTTATTGTTCTCATACATCTAAAAATTGTGCTCAGATTTCAGTTTAAAGGCTTGGACTCTGGGCCCTTGGTACACACATACCTTCTCTAAGATTGAACGATACAGACAGAGAAATTAGAGGTTGCCTAAGTCTGGTGGTGTAGAGTGTTATGTGTTGGATTGTCAACCAAAAGGTTGGCAGTTTGGCAAGCAACAAATGCTGGCGAGGTTGTGGAGAAACTGGAACCCTGATTCACTGTTGGTGGGAGTGTAAAATGGTGCAACCCTGTGGAAAGCAGTATGGCGCTTTCTCAAAAAGTTGCAAATAGAGATACCATTTGACCCAGAAATTCCACTACTGGGAATATACCCTGAAGAGACCATAGCTGACATCCAAGCAGATATATGCACACCCATGTTTACTGCAGCTTTGTTCACAATAGCAAGGAGTTGGAAACAACCTAAGTGCCCATCAACAAACGAATGGCTAGAGAAGCTGTGGTATATTCGCACAATGGAATACTATGCTGCATTAAAAAACAAGGAACTCATGCAATATCATTCAAAATGGTTGACTCTGGAGAACATTATGCTGAGTGAAATATCCCAGTCACAAAAGGACAAATATTACATGATGCCACTGTTGTAGAATGGGACTGTCCTTGGGGTTGGGGAGAGACTGAGTAAGAAGGGTTCAATAATGTATACTGCACTGAAACAGAGGAGGGAGAGAATCGTTTAAAAGAGAGATGTAACTGGGTATTTCTGTCATCACAGGAGACTAGAGCGAGGGCTACATGGTGGAGGGGACCTGGGGGAGGGTTTGTAAAACAATGAAAGAATCTTTTCTTTTACTTTTCCATAATTTTTGGACTCATGTACTTATAACTTGTTAGTCAAATTTGTGTCTTCTAGGTTGCAACACCCCCCTGATACATCTTCAAGGATATGTACATGTACAGCCAAGCACAATCAATAAGAGTGCATCTGAATTCCAAAATCAATCTCCATAATAGTCTATGTGTTTCCTACTGCCAAAGGGGCCCTTTAGAGTAGTGAGAGAAGATCTTCACCCTGAAACCCACAGCGTCCCTTTTCAGCAGGAAGTAGCTAAGAGAATACGCCGTCCCCTTTTCCTTATGACTCAGGGTGAAGTCTCTCTCAGGGAGGAGTGATAGGGAATGGCAAAGGATACACTGACAAAGAAGATTAATCAGAACTGGCTTTGACAAGCACTGTGGCATTTGGACAAGAACAAACTGGGAGGAGGGTAGAGAGAATAGTGCAACAATGAATGAGTGGAAGCCCAAAATCTCTGTAAATGTTTATGAAAATTAATAAAATATAATTAGGCTGGTCCGAGTGCAGTGGAGGCCGCAACTAATTGATCACAGCCAGTTACAGATTTCTTTGTTCTAATAAAATATAATTATAGAAAAAAAAAAAGAAAACCCAAAAGCACACAGTTCAAATTTACCAGCTGCTCCATAGGAGATCTCTTCCAGTCATGTTTATTGCGGCTTTGTTTGCAATAGCAAAGAGCTAGAAACAACCCAAGTGCCCACCCACAAACGAATGGATAGAGGAGCACTGGTATATTCACACAATGGAATACTATGCAGCATTCAAAAACAAGGAACTCATGAAATATTAAGCAAAATGGATGACCCTGGAGGACATTATGCTGAGTGAAATAGCTCAGTCACAAAAGGACAAATACTGCATAAGGACTGACATCAGGGTTGAGGGAAGACAGAAAAGGAAGGGAGGAATGATGTATACTTCATTAAAACAGATAAGAGAAAGATCTGTTTAAAAGGGATATATGAATGGGTATTCTTGTCATTACCGAAGTCCAGAATGAAGGCTGCATCGTGGAATGAACTTGCGGGGAGGGATTGCATAACAATGAAAGAGTTTTTCTTTTTCTTTTCAAGGAGAGGAGTGATTTGGGGGAGAGGGGGTGGGCAGGGAGAAAAGTGCATCAATGAATGACTGGAAATCCTAAGTCTCTGTAAACTTTCATTAAAATTAATTTAAGAAAAAAGAAAGAAAAAAAAAAAAGGTTGGCAGTTTGAACCTACCAGATGCTCCAGGAGAAGATGGACAGTCTCCTCCCATCAGGATGTGGGTGTTGAGTACCATCGAGTCTGAATCGACCCCGCCGACGCTGATCCTTCCAACGGGTTTTCAGAGGCAGTAAAAATCACAAGAGAAGAAACTGCCCCATATCTCTCTCTCAAGGAGCAACTGTTAGATTCGAACCATGTGCCCTTGGGTTGGTGGTGCAATTCCTTATCATTAAGCCACCAGAGCGCTCCTACAACCATGTAAATGCAGTGGAAAGTCAGCATGAGTTGGAATCAACTTAATGGGAGTGAGGATTTTGGGGATAAGTCTAGAGGAAATGGAGTGTTTTGGGGGTGACACCTAATGAGTACAGATTTTTTTTCTCGAGATGATGAAAAAAAAAATCCTAAAAATAACTGTAGTAAAAGCTCCCCAACTGTAAATTCACCAAAACCACTGAATTGTATGTTTTACATAGATGAACTGCAAGGTATTTTGCTATCTCAGTACAGTTAACTGTTAAAAAACCAAAACAACTTATACTGTAACATTTTCATTGTTTTAAAGAGACACAAGTACAACACTTTATAATCAAATGACAATGAGTTCAGAGATTGATTGTAAATCTTTTCTGGATTAATAGCTACATTTTAGCACAAACCCTTTTTTTTTTTTTAATAAAGTTGACCTCTCTGGGAAGAATTCCTACCATCTCCTCTTAGGACTCTACCCTGATTCAGTGCAATGGAGGCCTTCTCTATGGAGACCTTTGCAGTCTACGGAACAAAGTCTAGGGTTGGTTGGCTCGTTTGAAATGACTACCACAGACATCCACGCTTCCTCTCTCAGTCCTGGCTG